CTCAGCATGAAGCATGCAGCCCTCACTGCTGACACCTGACAGCATCGCAATGATTTGTTAGGTGTGCTTTGCATTAAGACATTTTCCTTCTACGAAATAGTTTTAGCACCATACCAATTTGCATTGAAAATGCAGTCTGAGGCTTGAAAACTTTCCAGCAAGACTGAGTGAAACTAAGCAAGGCTGAGAGAAACATGGCACAGAGTCCTTTTTGAGCTGCAGAGACACAGATAGTCATCCAAAGGCCACCAATCATCCAAACTTTGCCAACATTGGGCGGCACACCTTTGGCAAATGAGAGAACTCTTGACTCTTCACTCCCATGAGTTGGCAGTACTGTAGGGACAACCTCTGGATCTTGCATGAAGAACGAGAAACTCTTCACCTCATCCTCCCAGTCCTTGCAAGCGGCCAGTTTACGAAGTGTTGCTGCCCCTTCTGCATTGTGATATGGATTGCCTTCCAAAATCACAGCCAGCCGTTCCAAAGCCTTGGCTCTTTCAGGTGATACGATCTTCCTGGGCATAATTGGGATTGAATCATAGGTTCCAACCCAATCCATAAAGGCAAAAGGCAGCACGAGGACAGGCTTGAACGAATCACGGGCAGGGTCACTCATGCGGCTCTTGCAAATGCCAAATACATCTCTGGCATGACCTTCCCGGTTTGTTCCTGTCAACTGCCCAACCTCCTTTGAACTGAGATCTGATCTCCGATTGTATGTAAAGCTGTGAGGCACAGAGGTGTCACCACATGGCATGAAGCAGTTATAGATCTTGATCCGGAGCTGCTCCAGGAAGCTGCTGTAGTTGCGGGGCACAGCCTCCTCCACAATGAGCGTCTCCCCAGAAGATTCCTCAAAAGCAATGATGTCAAAATCAGATCATCCAAACTGACCCACTTTCATATTTGAAGCAAAAGTAAACAAAACAATGAGACAGCAGCTGCCTTTCAACATGTAAAATGGCTCAAACATGTTCAAAATTCCACCTTCTTTGCCAGATCTTCCCTCAGCAAGGCAATCACATCAGCCACAGAGTTGAAGCAGTTTCTTCGCAAGGTTGGCAGCAGCTCAGAGAGGAAACCATCAACATCCTCATGCGTGTGCCCCTTTGTGAGGTAATTGACACTGCCTGAGGCAATGAGGCCTCTTGCAACAGCGTAGGCAACCCACAAGTGGGTGTCAGAGTTCTTGGAGAAGGCTACCGTGTTGTCACATTGAAGGCACAGGTGCTGTGGTACAAGGCCTTTTTCTTCGAAGATGGACTGAAGAGTCCGGCTGAGCACCTCACACACCATGTTGGCACCATGGTTGACTGTCTCATCATCAGACACATAGACGCTTGTCCTCCATCCATGGGCAAGGACTGCTGTCAAGACCATTTTTGGTCGGCTAAAGTTCTCCAACTCATGTGGTAGACGATGCATCTGGTGGTACTTCGGATAGCACCACTTTGTCTTGTCCATGCTATCTGCGATCACCACCAGGACCCCAAAGTCTCGAGAGCGAGAAGCAAACCTCAGACTCCAGTAGATGCTTCTGTCCATCCACTGCTGGGTTAAGTGAGCACGCCACCTGCTGGCAATCTGCACTCTGTCAGCAGCTGATATGCCACCTCTGCCCAGCTGCTGGCGGAACCGGAAGCAGTCATCACATTCCGCATGCTGGCTCTTCTCACGAAAGCGGAGGCAGCGCTTGTGGAAAACTCCGTCCAGCATCTGTAGAATGTGGCCCAGGACGGGATTGCAGCTTCTCCCTCTGCAGCTGCTCCCTGCTTGCGCTGGGTCTCAACCCAAGACAAAAACTGGTACCACAGGTCCACCAGCTTCCCAGGCGGAAGATATCGGATTGGCACTCTGTAATCCTCCATCTGACCCCCAACAAGCGCAGCTATCCTCTCAGGGGCTGTCACCTCCACAGACCACCGAAAAGTTTGTTGAAAGGCTCCTTCATCAGCTTCTTCAGTCTGAGCCTCAACTTCTGGTAGCTGCTCTGCTGCACACATGTAGAGCTCCATGAAGAAGTGAGCCCACACTGACCTCTGCAAACTCGGCCATGTGGTTGCAGTCTTCATCCTTCGGAGGTCACAGAGTCCATGTGCCATCCTCAGAACAGTTCGAGGATTCATGCCCAAAAACTTGCAGAACCCATTGAAGCAGACATCCACATCATCTATCTTCCATTTCGGTCCTTTGATTTGGAGCAAAATGTCAAAATAGGCAAATAGTAGTTACTAAAAAAAACTGAAAGATAACAAAATTTCCTGCAGCCTGATCCAGGAAACTCCGCACTGCTGCATTTTCACTCTTCAGCTCTTCCCACTGATCCAGTGGATTGAACAGCTGGCTCAGGACTTGCACCTGTGTCTCACGGGAAAGTTGATGCCAGCAACTGTTGAAGGCTTTTGCTTGTCGTACAGAAAACTGTTGAAGGCAGTTTTTTTGGCAACGGCAATGTGAAGATGACATGTCTTTGATGCGATCAGCACTCATACCATTCAAAGCATATGTAGTTGATGGCTTGTCTCAGCCGGTAGCATTCGAAGCAGGGGCAAAGAAAGGTGCACCATGACCATCTCATTCTGATCCTGCACCAGGTTTTCATCATCACTGCTGATTGTGCCAGGACCATCATTCATCAGTGGCTGTTTCTTCCAAGCCTTTCCTGTAGTTCTTTTCTTCAACGGCCTAGGGTTGCCATCTTCCTGCAGTGGGCCTCTCTTCCAATCCACCATCATATTCAGAGCTGGTGCATCACCTTCTTCTTCCTTGAGAGCAGCTTTCTTCCAGTCTCCATGCTTGGGCTTGGACTGAGTAGAGCTAGCAGCATGACCAGCAGCTTTCGACTGAGAAGAGCTAGCAGAGGCACCAACTGCTGTTTTGGACCCAGAAGAGCTAGCAGAGCCACCAGTAGCTACTGCAGAGAGACCAGTGAACAGCTCCTCATCATGCAACGCAGCATGCTTCCACGACATCCAGGTCGAGTCTGAGCACAAATGTGCTACCAGTCAGCCAGAATAATTTTTACCCTTCATTGACACTATCAGTTCAATGGTGTCAAGCACTGTGAATGACAGGTCACTGGGTGCAGAGCAAGTCTTTTAAAACGGGTGTGATCCAGCACTGATTGCAAAATTGATACTCAAAGAAGATGCAACTAGCCTTGCCCAAAATCTTCAGCTCACTCAGCCAGAGGTCCTTCCGGTACAGACATTCATCAAATTAAACAACCATGAATGCCAACAACAACTGAAGTGCCACAGTATGTGCTTTGTATCACAAAGAGTGCTTGAAATGGTCACAACACATGGGTGCTCCACTGCACATGGGTGCTTTGCAGCAAATAGGTGCTTTGCAGCACATGGGTGCTTTGCAGCACATGGGTGCTTTGCAGCACATGGGTGCTTTGCAGCACATGGGTGCCTTGCAGCACATGGGTAGCACATGGGTGCTTTGCAGCACATGGGTGCTTTGCAGTACATGCTTTGGAGCGCATAGATGAACAACATGTAATTGCCAAAGAGTATCTGCATAGAATAGGATGCATCTTTTTCATCAAGCATGGCATCAGAGCTGCAGCTTGAATTATCTGACTGACTACTCCCTACTCAAAACAATTCTTCCACGTAGATGTGGGGACACTGGAGGGCTGCATGTCTTCCTGACACATCTTCCAGAAGCCATCAGAACGTTGAGTGCCCTCGAGGACTGCAGAGCTGTCTTCCATGCAAAGCTTCCAGCTAGAGGATGCACTTTTGGCATGCTTCTTCTCATCATTCTCATTGGTTTTGAAAGTAGCAGCATTCTTTCTCCAAATCTCAACCACTTTCTGCCCCATCCTCAATGGGTAGCTTGCAGATTTCTTAAGTGCATCTGACTTGCCATTGATTTGTAATTTGCCATTCTTCTTCTCCATCTTGGCAAGCTTTTCATGGGGCTTGCTGTGGTTGCACGGAAAATTGAGCTCCTCAATCCATGGCACTGGCACTGGCCCTGCAAGACCATAGGCTTTCTTTGGGCGACGTCCCCTTGAGAAGCGGCATCTGCACAATGTAGCATTCCAAATTTCAATGTGTTCAAAAACCTGTCTGACAGCCGGAAGTTTCCAAATCCAGTTGCCAGCAGGGTTTTCTAGCACTGGGCAGGCACCCAGCATCCATCCCAACACAAACAGCATCATAGATACCATGGCCATGAAGTTGCCATTTTTAACGCAGTTCCTTGAGAGGTTACCGCTGGGATTCTGCAGTGAGCGCTCAGTTTGTGCAACACAGAGCCCACAGAATGATGAGCAGTCCGGGGATATCCAAAGTAATCCACCAGGCTTTACCCTGCCCACCATTTTCACCAGTTCCTCAAGGCCATTTGCATAAAAGACATTCATGCCTTGATCCATGTCCTTGTCAAAGCCTTCACAGTGGTATCCAAAGGCAGCACCAGCTTTCCAAATGCTACCAACACCACAAAAGACTTCAGCAACATCAGTCTTTCGCACTTGAGTCTCAGCCAGTGCAACCATCATGGGAAAGGTCAAGTGAAGTGCAACCATACCTGTGCAGGCTGCCATTGCAATTGCACGCCGGGAAGCGTTCATGACTCTAAGATGTGCACTTACTTAAACATAAATGAAAACAGTTGTAAAGCAGGATGCCTTTTTCAAACCTCAGAAGGCCTTACAGACCAATTCCAACCTCAAATCATTCCACCATGGATGTCGAATGTGCTTTTCAACCCACAGAAGGCCTTACAGGCCAATTCAGCTTGAGATGTAAGAATATCCATCAAAATGCATCATGTTGTTTCTCCTGTGAACCTGCCAAGCAAATCATGCACTGACTCAGTTTGCAGACCTTTTTTTCCTGCTCACGTTCTCCAAATCACACATCTTGTAATCATCCCCAGAGATGCCCCACTACCTGCAAACACGGAATCTGATCTGTGTTGGGTGCAGTGAGGATATGAACCCATGATTCCTTTGGAACCAGAAATCCCATCGGCACTCAGGTGCTGCCGTCTAAGTGCTCCTCGCTCATCTCAGCACAATTCATCTCCTCAGCCACTGATCTCTCAGCCTCTTTCATCTCAGCTCCATCATCATCATCCAAATTGATGTCAGGAGCAAGTTCACCAGCATTGTCATCGACAGGCACTGACTTCAAGTAGCCCTTCTCAATGCAGTGATCCTTCCATGCCTCAGATGCACTTGTGAACTTCTCTTGCGTAGTGGCAGCTGTCTCCTTGAGCTTGGCCATCTGAATCTTCATAAACTGCAGGTACTCCAACTGTGTGGCATGAGGCGTCCAATTTCTCACTGAATCTGACTTTTTCTTGCCCTTCTTGTCTGCCTTGTAAGCAGCCTTCTGATCCATGTACTCTTTGCGAATACACAAGAACTGTTCCCTGAGATCAGGATCAGCTGGCGGTCGATGCCCAGCAAATGTCAAAGCATCACCCCGTGTAGCTCGTTGGCCCTTGTCTGCACCACGAGGCTTAGATTGCTTATCTTCATCAGGAGGGAGCTTGATCTTTTTGCCTGCCCTCACTTTGGACTTGGGCACAGCTGCTGGCTTCTTCATGTCTTTTGGTGCCTCTGCATCTCCAGCAGGCTTCTTAGCATCTGGGCTACCACCTGCAGGGAAGAGCTCGAGACAAACATCTTGATTGTCTGCTCTCCTCTTCTGTGGGGCTTCTGGCTTGTCACCACTGCTACCAGCATGTGCACCATGTCCTCTGGGCTCTGGAGTGACAATCACATCTTTGGGCTCAGGAACAGAGGGGGTGACAGATGCTCCAGGAACAGAGGTAGCGACAGGTGGCACACAAGCATCCACTTTCAGACACAATGTTTTCTTCGGTGACATTGCACACTCTTCGTCAGAGCTTTCATGGTTCAAAAAGAACTGCGACATGTGAGAAGAAAGGGATTGAATCTTCTCAGTCAGTGAGCTATTGTGGCCAGATTGAGCACAAACTGCAGGACATGGACTTTAAATCTATCAGCATGACTGGGCTGCAACTGCTTTCTTTCACATCACTGGCAGGGTGCAAAACATTGATTACATGATCAAAACATTAAACTTTAAATCTATCAGATGGCAGCTGTTTGCAGTCCTCCTTCTGGATGTGGCATAACAAATCTCCTGCAACAAACAAACAGAAGCAGTGTGATGATTTTCTAGCTGCTTGGTCAAAGTGAAATCAAATATGCACAAACCCAGGGTGGCCATGGGCAATCAGCACATTTTGTTTCATTCGAGGTTGCCAGTGAAACCTGTTGGCTTCACACATCCTGTCACATCATCGAACATAGTCCCTAGGGCAGCAAAATCGCAAAATCATCATTCCATGCCATGCCCTGGTTCTTCTAGCTCTCATTCTGCGCCTTGATCAAGCAGTACAGCTTCCCAGCTTTCATCTCCAGCCCGTTCATCAAAAACAGTCCAGGCTTCTGAGGGAAGATGCCAGTCGCATTCTTGCTGTCCACGTACTTGAGCCGCATTCGGACCATGACCTTGTCCCCAAGATTTTTCCAGTCCAACAAGGACAGAGCATTCCGGTGGCTGCTTGTCTGATTGTTGGGCAACTTCTTGACTTCAAATGCGCATTCTTCTTTTGTTTTGATCTCATACTGACCCTCCTTCTCCTTGATAGCTTCAACGCTGTGGGCAACAAAATCAGGATTCACGATGCCCTTCACTTCCAAATAGTCCAAGAAGGTCTTGAAGTTGGTGACCTTGCTCTCAAAGGCAGGCTTCAAGTTCGGGAGGTCTTCATGGAAAAAAACGCCTCTGAATCCGCATCCATCTTCATCTCAAAGAGGTGGGCACCCTTGTCCTTTCGTTGGGCAACTTCACCCCCTGTCCTGTACTCTCCATAGCCCAGCATCAATGGACAGTTCCTTGAGAGCATGGTGTCATTGGTGCTCAAGACCCAGACCTGCAGCTTGTGATCAATGTGGACACAAACATCAGATGCATTCTCAACCGGAAAGGAGATCACAGGCTGAGGCAAATCCTTCAGCTGGGTCGCAGATTCCTCAAGCTTCATCAGCTTGTGCTCCGCACCTACCTCTGCCTCAGCCTTCCTCTTCTTCACATGGTAGGCAATGCCAGAAGGATTGAACTTCTCATTGTGCTGCTTGGTGGTGAGGGTGAAGGCCTCTTGGCAGCGGGTGAAGGTCAGCTCCTCCAACCTCTCTGCCCGAAGTGGCAAGACAAGCTTGCCATCCACACTGCTCGGCATTGTCAACCTGAAGTCTCGCTCATCATACGATGGCGCTATACCCTCTGCAAGGGACCCAGGGACATAGCCAGAGCTGCCCAGCAGATCCTTCTTTTGAGACAACATTTTCTGCAAGAAGGTCTGCATATGCTTCTGCAGATAGAGCTCAATCCCTTTGCGCACATCAGTGCCAGAATCATCCCGTGCCCAGATGATGGACAAAACCTGCTGTGGCTGTGAAGCAGCCTGCAGGCTCATCAGTGTTGATGCACGGAGCAGGGACATGTCCTGACTCTGAAGTGTTCAGCAGTGGAACAAGTGGCTGACTGAACCAAACAAAAAAGGCTCAATTCAACATGAAAGATCATGATGGAATCGCAGAAAAATCTTTCTTGAAGACCACCTTCAAGCATCATATGGGAAAAGGTCAACGTAGCAAACAGGCATGGATGCTGCAGTCGTTGACATTCCCTTGAACAATGCCTTCATGGTCTTGAGATAGACCTGCTCACCAGAGATCCATTGTTTGTGCTTCTGTGCCTTGGAAAGAGGGCCTGGCACTCTGTTCAGGTCTGGGACCACAAAGTCTGTCCCTGCAAGCAGCTGCACATCAGCAACAATGCGACGGTACCACAAGCTGGAATGCTGAAACATGCACATCAGCTCACCATCTGTATCTTTCACATCGGACATCACCATGAAGCAATCATGGTACCTTAAAGTCAGAGGTGAGACACTGGCTCCAAACAGTTCTTAGTTCCCCTTAAACTTATTCTTAAGTCTTGTCTTATGTTTTTTTGTGAAAACAACTTGCAGGTAAGCTACCCACATCTTCGAGATTGAGTTGCAAAGCTCCCCTCCGCAAACATGATACTCACTCGCTTGACTGCCAAATGACTCTGTGGTTCCTTCAGCTCAGTCTCCACCTGCTGGCAAGCCTTCTCAACATCTGCATCACTGTATGTCGCACCACAGCATCCACTGTTCGGTGCAATCAGCAAGGCACACGTGGTCTTCGGGTAGGCAGCACAATTCTCAGAGATGATGCTTACAGTGTCCAGCAGGTACTTGCTGAAGGCAGTACCCAACTTCGTCAGGTCACCCACAAAAACTGTCAGGACATTTTCCTCAGAAACCTGGCTCTGCAGTGCATACTTGGTCAGCTGGTTCTGAAACAACGTGCTGACATAGGCCTTTTTGTCTGTGAATCTCACCGGGGTGTTGGCTTCCATGTAGGCCTTCGAAGCTGCTTGGAACTTGTCGGCCTCACCAAGGAGGAAAGCTCGCTGATCTGCTTGCTTTCTGGCTTTCTGGCATCAAATGCCTGCAGCTTGGCTGTGTACTCCTCAAACACCTTCTGCTCCTTGCACAACTCCGACTGCCATGCTTTGAGCTGAGCCATCTCCAAAGCATCAGATGCTTCCTGCTGGACTTGCTGGAGGCTTTTGACCGTTGTGTCTGTGCCCTGCAGAATGGACAGAAATCTGAAGTCATCCAGGCACAGCTTCCCATCCTGTGTTCTGACTTTCTCCAGGAATTCGCGGTCATAGCTGCCCTTCTGGAATGCTGCCAAGGCCTTTGCGTAGGCCTGATCCCCCAGCTTCTGCTGAAACTCTTTGGCAAAGTGCACCCACAGGCAGCAGAAGTCATAGCTCTCCCCGATCTTGTCCCGAAGTCCAGATGCTCTCATCCTCAGGTTGATGGCCTTGCCCTTGCTTGCAGCTTGAGCTTCTGCAAGGTTTCTCAGGAAGATCTGGATGGCTCTTTTGACAAAAAGGGTGTTCTGGTCCGGGGAGGCCACAAAGATGGCCTGCCAGATTCCAGGCATTGAAGCGTCCGTCCTCTTCGTCCGGTCCACAGTGTTGATGAGGCTCTTGAGAGGCAGCGCAGAGTCTTGTATCTTGAAGTTGTCCCAATGGCGTTCAAGGACTGCCAGGAACTCAGACTGCTGGCCAGGGAGCAGCAGCAGCATTTTCACTTCAGCCTCAGAGAGGCGTGCTGCATCAACATTGCTCCCTTTGTTGAAGGCCGTAATGTAAGAGCTGATTTGCTCACTGTACTTCTGTCCACGCAGGCTGAACATTTGGCACAGGCCAGAGTACAGCTGAATCACATCAGGTCTCGTTGATTCACTGATGATGAACTTGGACCTCATCGATGATGCAAAGACATCTGCTTGATTTGGCTCCAGAGTGGCCTTGACCTGCAAGCATGAAGTAACTTCCTTGAGAACGACTTGCAGGTCTGCATCAGCTAGGTTCTTGGCCAGCTCAACAACGAGTTTCGCAGACAAGTTCCTGGTCATCCCCACAGAGACCTGGAAACTCCAGTCTGGAACTGGCTGCCCCGGCGCAACAGAAGCTGGTGCACACACCACCAGTGGGCTCCTTGTGGAGGAAAAGCCAGACTCCATGAAATTGCGGAAGGTCTGCAGCACATTGACGAGCTTTGGCCGTCCACGCAATCCTTCAGGGGAAATCTGAGTAATGTCCATCCAAAAGTCGATCGATGAAGCTTGGCTGGCAGGCACCTGCTGCAGTGCTGGCTGCTTGAGCCACCCCAGGCTTGCACACCTGGTCATGAGGTCCTCCACTTCCTGCTTCCATGTCGCCTTGTCCTTTCCCATGAAGTAGTCCATGACATGGACGAAGTCAGAGCCCAAGTTGCTGGAAAGCTGGCAAATTGATCTCAGCTCTTGCTCCATGGTCTTCAAAACTTTCTCCTTTTGCGCCATCTCCATGACCTGTCACAGCAAGACCCAGTCAGATCCTTTTTATTTAAACTTATTTTTTAATTAAATTTAAATTTATTTAAAATTAAAAGAATCTGAGATCCACCTGGCAGGCAGCCTTAAATCAGCCTTTTCTTTTTTTTTTAAGGGGACTCATTATTTTGTTCAGTCATTAGGTACTTAAGTCAGCCTTTTCTTTTTTTTGGGGGGCTCCCCGGGGGGGTTCATTATTTTTTGAGTCATTATCTCCTTAAATCAGCCTTTTCTAAGCAACATCATTAACTCTCTGAGAAAAGGCGGCTACAGTACCTGTAGCCCCCTTTTGTCTTAGGAAAAGTAATGTAGCCCCTTTTCTAAGCAACATCATTAACTCCTTGAGAAAAGGCGGCACATTACTTTTCCTAAGACAAAAGGCGGCTACAGTACCTGTAGCCCCCTTTTCTCAGAGAGTTAATGATGTTGCTTAGAAAAGGCTGATTTAAGGAGATAATGACTCAAAAAATAATGAGTTCCAAAAATCTGAGGTTCCAAAACTAGACGACGGATGGCCCGAGAGCGTAGAGGAGCAGGGTCTTCTCTTGTTAGTATGGAGACACAAGTTTAGAAACAATATATGAAAGATGTGTTATAGGCAGTCGAGAAGAGGAGTATCAAGACAAAATAGTGAGAAGTGCAAGACAATAGTTTGCATCGCAAACACTTTTACACACAGAAGCTTTTACACACAGAAGCTTTTACACACAAAAGCTTTCACACACAGAAGCTTTTACAGACAGACGCTTTCACACACAAAGGCTTTCACACACAAAAGCTTTTACAGACAGACACTTTCACACACAGAAGCTTTTACATACAGAAGCTTTTACACACAGACGCTTTTACACAGATACTTTTACACACAGACACGTTTACACACAAACACTTTTGCACACAGACCCTTTTACACACAGGAGCTGCTTTTACACACAAACGCTTGTACACACAGAAGCTTTTACACATAGACGCTTTTACACACAGGCACTTTTACATACAAACACTTTTACACACAAACACTTTTACACACAGACGCTTTACACACAGACGGTTTTACATACAGACGGTTTTACACACAAGCGCTTTTACACACAATCACTTGTACACACAGACGCTTTTACACAGAGGCCGTCCCATGTACTCACAGCGAAGCCATCGTTGTTTTGGCCACCTCAGCAATCCGACGGGGTGGTGTGGCGAAGTCCTATTTCCATGTGACTCGAAACCAGCATCTATAAACATGTCATGAGGGCTATGTGCTTTGGGGCCCCCCAACCAAGGTGGTTTGCCATCCCCTGAAAAAAGTATAAACGGGCGGACCTGGCAGGCGGCGAACGTTTCTGGGCTGGGACACACACAGTATTACAATATGACATAAGTTGGTTCTTTTTGGGTTTAGGGTCCTGATTCCTGACTGTGACTGGAATTGAAACTCTTATGTTAACACTCATACATCCATCTCTATATATTAACACTCATACATCCTTCTCTATTTCATATTGCTATTCCTATCTCAATATAAAATATATCGATTTGTCTCTTTGTGGTAGCAGCCTGCCTATCCATGTAATCCATCCCATCTCGGGGCCCTGACTCCATGCAAACCTAGCTGCACAGACCAACAACTATATGCGCAAAAGGAATCGGCAGCTTTATTCATCTTCGATGGAGTCTCAGCCCGTTCTGCTTGACGCACGCCGATGCACTGTGGTGAGACAGGATGCACTATGGTGAAACTGAATGTCTCAAGCAAAGATGCGTGCATCAGCAAGTCTCAGACAGTTTACACACAAACACTTTTACACACAGAAGCTTTTACACACAATCACGTTTAAACAGATGCAATTTTACATGCAATCACTTTTACACACAAACTTCTTTACACAGAAACACTCGTACACACAAACCCGTTTACACACAAAGACTTTTACACACAGAAGGTTTTACACACAACACTTTTACACAGATGCACTTGTACACACAAACATTTTTACACACAAACATCTTTACACAGAAACGCTCGTACACACAAACCTCTTTGCGTGCGAAAGAGTTACTCCAACACACGAAAAATCGCTATTTTACCTCAGTTTTTGCCGATCGACCCTCATTTCGTGCGAAAGGGTTGCTCCAGGACAAGTCAAATCGCAATTTTACCTCAGTTTTTGCCGATCGACCTTCATTTCGTGCGAAAGGGTTGCTCCGGGACAAGTAAAATCGTAATTTTACATCAGTTTTTGCCGATCGATCCTCATTTCGTGCGAAAGGGTTGCTCCAGGACAAGTCAAATCGCAATTTTACCTCAGTTTTTGCCGATCGACCCTCATTTCGTGCGAAAGGGTTGCTCCAGGACAAGTAAAATCGCAATTTTACCTCAGTTTTTGCCGATCGACCCTCATTTCGTGCGAAAGTGTTGCTCCAGGACAAGTCAAATCGCAATTTTACCTCAGTTTTTGCCGATCGACCCTCATTTCGTGCGAAAGGGTTGCTCCGGGGCAAGTCAAATCGCAATTTTACCTCATGCAGTTTTTGCCGATCGACCTTCATTTCGTGCGAAAGGGTTGCTCCAGGACAAGTCAAATCGCAATTTTACCTCAGTTTTTGCCGATCGACCCTCATTTCGTGCGAAAGGGTTGCTCCGGGACAAGTAAAATCCCAATTTTACTTCAGTTTTTGCCGATCGACCCTCATTTCGTGCGAAAGGGTTGCTCCGGGACAAGTCAAATCGCAATTTTACCTCAGTTTTTGCCGATCGACCCTCATTTCGTGCGAAAGGGTTGACGTTTCGTGACTCGCCGCCGGCACCACCCTCGGCCTTAAGAGAGAAAGATAAAAAGAAGGCGTGAGAGAAGGTGAGCAGGTGTGAAGATAAGAAGATGTGAAGATGAGCAGATGTGAAGATGAGCAGATGTGAAGATGAGCATATGTGAAGATGAGCAGATGTGAAGATGAGCAGATGTGAAGATGGGAAGGTGTGAAGATGAGCAGATGTGAAGATGAGAAGATGTGAAGATGGGAAGGTGTGAAGATGAGCAGATGTGAAGATGAGCAGATGTGAAGATGAGCAGATGTGAAGATGAGCAGATGTGAAGATGAGAAGATGTGAAGATGGGACGGTGTGAAGATGAGCAGATGTGAAGATGGGAAGGTGTGAAGATGAGCAGATGTGAAGATGAGCAGATGTGAAGATGAGCAGGTGTGAAGATGAGAAGATGTGAAGATGGGAAGGTGTGAAGATGAGCAGATGTGAAGATGAGCAGATGTGAAGATGAGCAGATATGAAGATGAGCA